GCCGGGGGAGGGGCAACGCATTCAAAAATGCGTGAGGTAACCATTCCCAAGCTATATCTTTGGATCTCGAAGTGTACTCGTGAACTTTTTACAACTGGATTTCATCTAAATGTCATGCATTCCTCTTTAAGAATACTAGAAAGAAATGTCTTAGTGAATTGGTTTTTGCTTCAGATCAGAAAGCATTGTGTCCCAGCATCTAATATAGACTATTCGTTCATCTGAAGATCGTGTACGAAGAGAAAATATCATGCAATAAAATTTGCTGAAAATTCTGTACATTATAATAAGCACAATCTAGAATAAAGCCACTATATTATTATTATGAGACGCTTCCACATTATATTTAATTTGCAGAAAGCATAATCATCAAGTATTGGTCTTCTACAGGTATTGTTTGATTAGATGGGGGATTTCATCATGAGCTGACATCAGTAAGAGAACCAGTAGAAAACCTGGGAGTACTGGACAGCTGTTTCGTCACACTATGTCGTGAATTGGCAAAAGTTGGAATTCATGGGCCATTGAACCCGGTCCCAGTGACTCAGTGGTCTATGAGCTCGCCTTCTAACCAGAAAGTCCAGTGTTCGAACCACAGTAGGGTGGGTTCATACTGCTGAAGAGTGGAAAACTAGGCTGACTAAACAGCTGTCCAATACTCCCGGGTTTTACAATGATTCTCTAACCAATGTCCGCTCATTATTATTAAAGAGTTCTAATGGGCTTATCCATACTACATGTTAAATTCAATTATTATTATATTCAGGTAAGTAGTTACCTGGATCCTTGTGAGAAGTCATGACCGGCGAGGTACAGCAAGTTGGGTGTGAGGACAAATACTCGCCGATGATATTGGCTAGCCTCTGCGCTATGTCGTGAATTGGCAGAAGTTGAAATTCATAGGCCATTGGGTTAGGTCCCAGTGATTGAATGGTCTGCGAGCTCACCTCGTAACCGGAAAGTCATGTGGGCTGTAACCCCATGGTGTGGCTGCGTACTAATGAAGAGTCCCAAACTGAGACGAAACAACTGTTCAGTACTCCCAACTCGTTTTCCAATATTTATCTAGTCGATGTCAGCTCATGATGAAATCCTGTAACCAATCAATCAAATCCTCACAAAGCAACGCTTAAGTATTATTAGTATTAACCAAGACAAAGATATTTCCATGAATAACTTCGAAAACAGTGTCAAAAAATGCTGTTCCACGTATCTTCACTTTTAGATACAATTAACAAACACATATACTCGGTTTAGCAACAATACTCTATTCACTGTCTTAGTCAATCAAAAAGAATAGATGCTAATGGGCTATTTATAAGGGTCACGATAAGGCTAGTAATGCTGACTAGTGCTCGTGACAAGTAACTACTGAAGGCTAATGCACTTGACTGTAAAATAGTAATTGATCTGTTTAAAGCGCTTTTTCTTTTTCATTCCTTGGCGTTCCAGGTGGAATATAGGGTTTCAGATTTGAGGCCTTGAAGCTTGAGTAGCAGTGGTATTGTTTTATATTACGGGGTCGCTAGCCATACACAACCTTCCCTCTTTACCGAGCTTACTACAGGCTAAGTGAGGTTTAGGAGTGCGTCGACTGGGAATAGAACCCTGGACCACGTAAGGCATGGTTGGCGAGCGTTTTATCACTTAATTACCAGCAGAAACATACACACATACACAAAACCTTATCCGCTAGATCACCAGGCTAAGTTCTAGCATAAAAACAGCTAATGCAGTAAAATAACTCTAACAACCTAAAAATGTTTGGCCAGTGAATAAACAAACATTAAATGTGAATCTGTTATATGGACCTAAAATACCCCATGTATTTGTATATGGCTGGTTGTATTTCCCTCACCACACCTATGACCTTGGAATCCTATTGGCTGTTGCCTGTTTTAATTTACTATATGTGTAAAACTTGGACACTATGGTAGTAAGTAATTCCATATTAATTTGTTTATTCGATGTATCCACAGTGAAGAAATAGTATTATTTGCTGGATGACACAGTTTTGAACAAAATTTATTGTTCACAATCATATCAGTTGTAATCACACGACTTTGAAACTTCAGTTCTGTAGTTTCCTTTTTCTTCTCCTATTTATCGTAGGGGTAGTACAATTTTACAGATATTTGTGACAGGTGTTGAATAATTCCTATTACATGTATTTTCAGTTGATTCGATAAACAAAGCTTCCATTATCAATCTCTCCCTCCACTCTGTTACACTAGATTTTAAAACTGTCATCTTATCTCATCCTATTGTATGTCAATGCGTAATTGCATGTAGTCAGTGGTGTAGCTGAACTATTCTCCAGGTTTCTTACCTTATTCGGGTCAGCCAATCTAGATTTTGCTAGGTTTTAATGCTCCACTGGTCTGACTGCTCATGTTCTACTAGTCTGACCTATGCATTTGACGTGACAACCACAGCAGAGTAATAGATAGACTAAATTGTTTTGTTTAACTGGCTCCACAGGATCCTTTCACCGACAAAGCTTGTTTCTAATTGAGTTTGTAGGTTTGAATGTCAGCCACTTTTATTCTTGGATTGTAAGAATTCTACGCAAGGTTTCCGAGGTTCCTTCTCTGTATGGAAGTACTACTGTAACAACAGAAGATAAGGGCCAGGCAGCAGATCGTTTATTTAGGAAATGAACAGTTATTTATAGTTTTTCATGTACATTATTATAGCTTATTCAAGCAAACAAATACAGTCATCTGACTGATGGTTTCCTGCTGAACATTAATCTTTCATCTCTTTGTGGCCGTTTATTGAAGTTCGAATTATCTATCTGTAAATTATATCCGCCTATGCAAAGTCTCCTGTGACTGGTTGTTGAATCAGTCTTTGTTCTTATTATTCTGACGACCAATATTGAGGACGTAAACATTGACGTAAATTACTGTCTACCGACTTCGCTAGCAGCCAGCTCTCACCACACCACTGATGATTTATATTCCCTATTGTTGGTGTCGTCATTATTTTACCATTATTATTGCTTTTATTTTCACTGTTGATATAGGACAGTCAAAGCTCTCCACATCAACAGTCTATCTTCTCTTCTTGAACTGCAGTTTCGGTGGTATCGTATCATGTTATTGTTGTTGTTGTTGTTGCTAATATTTGGTTAGAACAATAGACTCGCGAATCGACCAGATAGGAAATTCGTTAGCGCAACCACCAAGTGAATTAACGATCATATGACAATCAGAAATTCACTTAGCTTACAGATGACTGATATATATATATATATATTGGAGAATTATTAAAGGAAATAATCAAGTGATGAGTTATTAGTAGTCATGGTAACACCACTTCGAATTCCAATGGATGCGTACTGCCGATGACTCCCAAACTAGGATGAAACAGCTGTCCAGTACTCCGGTGCTGGTTTTCAATGGTTCTCTAACTGATATCAATCCGTGATCAACTCGTGAAAACATAACTAACCCTTACAAACCCAAACTATAGAACATTAATCTGATGCTCGCTAATGAATTGCTACAGGCTGGAGTTCCCTGGAGTTCTAGTGAGAAGTCGTGACCAGTGAGGTCCAATTAGCTGTCACGTGTGTGGATGGATGTCCCACCAACAATAATGGTTGGGATCGCGCTAAATCATGAATCGGTAGAAGTCAGAATTCATGAGCCATTGAATCGGGTCCCAGTGGTTGAATGGTATACGAGCTTGCCTTGTAATCGGAAGGTCCTGGGTTCGAATCCCAGTGGGTGAGTACTGACGATGATTCCCAAACTAGGATGAAATAGCTGGCTATCCAGTATTCCATACTGTTGGCTTTCAATGGTTCTCTAACTGATATCAATCCGTGATCAACTCGTAAAAACATACCTTACCCTTACAAACCGAAACTATAGAAAATTCTAGATAAATAAAACCAGCAAGTTTAAGAAAGTATTAGTTTATTTGTCATTCTACTTTTGACTCCTATGTAATCATCATCATCATCATCAACACCATTATTCATGAGCATTGCAATAAATAAATAAAGTTCAAATGGTACGTAAATAAACGTATCAATGGTAATGATAATAATAGTAATAATAATAATAATGCGATAATGAGTGTGAATATAACTTCGCATTAAAAAAAAAGCAAGAATAAGTCAGAATGGCATATTTCCTAAAAGTGGAAGACTAGAAACACCAAATAAAAAAGCGAAGAATGGCAAAGATTTTTAAACCTTGAAGGGTAGACTATCCTCAGAAACTGCTTCTTCTTTATTCAAATAAACTCTAAGTGTACATTGCTGTTGTTCACCACAGTTCATTCAGACTGAAGTATAGTAAAATGGAATGTTGTAATCAAATCAGGGGACAAAATAAAGACAGACAAGGAAGATGAAAGAACCATTGGAGGGAAAGAAGAAGGCAAAAGGAGATGGATAAATCATCATTTCTTTCTCTAAAAGTACAACAAGAAATTGGAAAAATCATTCATCCCCCACCCCCCCCCCCAAAAAAAACATAATCATCTTTAAAAAATATCTGAAACAAACATCGAAAATATTTCAGTTCGAAGTATAGTAGTAGTAATAATAATAATAATAACAATAAAAATAACCGTTAACCAATGGTAACACTATTATAAATATTGCACAACCATAAATGACTATTTAGTAGCACAACCATTGTTAAAGAGTAATGATGAAACCATTGGAATGCTTGTTATATAACATAACAATCGATAAATAGAAATATATGAATAAATAAATAAATAAGTAATATCCTTGAAATTAGTCAATTTCTTCTGTATTTTAAATACTCTTCCTATTAGTTGTATAAAAAAAAACTCCCTTGGATAACTAAGTGGCTGAGTGAGTGAGTGACTAACTCGACTCAAAGCGAAGAGCTGGATCACAACCAATGACGGTAGTATAATAAATAATATAGATTTTGTGGTATGAAGGATATTGTACAATTGTAATGACCATACACTCAATCACACATACACTCACACCCACACAAATATGCACCTTAGTTTTTCTTTGCATCCCATATTTTATGAAAATTTTCCATAAATGAATCGTAGATCATAAAACTGATACAAACATCTAAGCAGACACGACCTAATCGAGGTACTGCGCCTTTGTAGAAACTGAAAATATCAGAAAAAGAAGAAAGAAACACTAATGTATTCATCTATTTATCTATCAAAAATAAAACAGTTTTGAATAAATTCACTTTACAGCAGCTTTTGTCATGTTTTGAAGCTCTTTGCAAAAGAAAAAGCCCATTGAAAACTGCGGAAAGCATGACATTTTTTTCATTTAAGCTGAAAAACATAAGCATAGGGCATTAAAAAACTAAACTTATTAAGTCTTCAATGCATCTTGTGCATGAAAGTCGTCAAGGGTTCGGACCCTTGGCCGACACCTAGTTGGTAGTAAGCTCAGTTAAAGAGGAAAGGTTGGGGGCTTAAGGCTAGCAACCCTACACTGTAGAAAATAAACAAAAACGCTACTAAACCTTCAAACTTCATGTTTAAAGTCCTATGCCCCACTAGTATGGTGAGAGCTGGCTGTTAGGCAAAATTGGTGGACAGTAATTCACGTCAATGTTTATGTCCCCAATATTGGTTTGGGAAAAAATGGAAAAGGCTTTGGGTAGGGGGAAAAAGTTAAAAAAAAAATGATTTTTTGCCTGGCCCTTTTTTTTTTTTTTTAACCTAGGGGTAAAGTTTTAAAAATTTTCCAAAAATTTAAAGCAAAAATTGGCATTGGAAACTTTTTTTTAGCCAAAATCAAACTTTTTTTGGAAAAGCTTCGAAATTGATTTTAAGCATTCAAAGCTAACGATTCCTACCAAAAATTTGGGGAATCGACTAAAACCCTTTTTTTTAAATTTGGTTGCTTTTTTTCAACTTCATTTTTGGAAAAAACCTAAAAACCCGTAAATTAAGGTTTTTTGATTAAAAAAACCCCAGGGGGGGGATGATGTTGCGGAAAAAAATTCATTGTTCACTATCAAATTCAGGTACCCAAAAAAAATTGAAACCATGCGTAAAAAATTCTGGTATTTTTTATCCCTGATTTTATTGGTAGTAATATTTCCCACTAGTTTCGTATTGGTGTTGCGTCATTCATTTTGTATGTGTTAGGTGTTGTCGTACAGCTGTTGAATAAGGTACGACAACGGTACATGTCAAGTGATCCATAACAGAAAACTCAGCGAGGCGTTTGGAGTAAATACAGGAGTCAAACAAGGGTGCTGGCTTATTATCACCAATGATATTCCTAATTGTGGTGGACTGGATTATGCGTCAGACAGTGAGTGGGAAACGAGAAGACAGGGATATCCTGGACCGACCGACATGAAAAATCTAGAAGACCTGGATTTCGCGCGGCGATGATTTATGTTTGATGTCACACAAAATCGAAGACTTACAAGCAAGCGAAAACCGACAAACTGGTTGAACAAGCAGACAGCGAAGACAGGACTCCAGGTGAACATAGACAAGACGGAGGTTATAAAAAATAACCATTACGCGACCCTTTTCAATAATTACCAATCTTCATCCCTACCCCCTACTTACAATCTGATTATTCATCACATTCCTGAAACATCTTGGTGACGTGAACAATAATCCCAACTAATTTTTATTTTGTTTGGTTATCCTAATGTACACACACACACGAATTTTTTTCCCTTCACGTTCCTAGTGGAACGTAGGGCTTGAAGCTAGCGGCTTGAAGTTTCTGTAGCAGTGTTGTTTATTTTTACAGGATGGGGTTGCTAGCCTCATGCCCAAACTTTCCTCATTACCAACTTTTTATTTCTGACTTAGCGAGGTAACGGAGTGCATCTGTGGTCGGGGATCGAACCCGGACCATGCGCATGGTTGGCGAGCGTCCTAACCACTGTGCAAACGACACACACACGAAATGATTTCGCCGAAAAAGATTCTCCGCAGAATTTTTTGTTCTCATAAAAAGCGAAGAGACAGTAAAATAAGTCTCAGCAAGATTCAAACTACTGTGAATCTTAAATACAGCGATTATTACAGATGTTGTTCACATTTCACTATGAATAAAATGTGTGCATTATATTTCGAGGCTTTCCTTCAACTGCAGACAGTCTAGAATATATATATATATAGTATATGGAAAGAAACAGTGGTTAGTCTTAATTCATCCTGGTAACAAACTTTATCCCACTTATTACATAATTATGTATTCTCTTTAATTTTTAATTTTTTCCTGTTCTCTTAACACACATAACTGAGTTCCGATCACTGCAGAACACTTACCAGTAGTATTACACAATCTTCTTTCTTCCTGTTTGTTGTCTATGCGTTAGTGGTTTTTGTTGTTAAGTCGTCTAATAAAACTTCTAGAAAATTCTTTCAAACTTATGAATAATTTGAGTTAGACCACAGATTGATATCAGTTAGAGAAACATTGAAAAAACTAGACAGCTGTTTCATCCAAGTTTGGGACTCATCGGCAGTTCGTACCCGTCACCAGGGTTCGTATCCAGGACTTTCCGATTACAAGGCAAGTTTGTATACCATTCAGTCATTGGGAACCGTTTCAATGGCCAGCCCATAAATTCTAACTTCTACCAATTCGTGATATTCAGCGCGACGATCAACCAATGTCAAACTTGAAAAAAACAAACCTAATCGTTACAAATCAACTCTTGAAAATGACAAATAACGCTATTTTCTTCCCGTGTTATTTGGATAACTAATTATGCTATCATAGTGAAGTTCACCAATTATTGTTTCCTTAAACTACAATCTACACGCTAAACTCCTCTTTTGAGAATCCTGAAAAAAAAATGCATATCCTTATTTTCTTAATACCATGTATATTTTAAACTGTCTGTCTGAAGGTACAGAGAAGCCTTGAAATGAACACTATGCAAATTTTGTTCTTGCTTTGATGAAGACGACCAAGGGAATAACGTTGAATGATTATCCTTATGAGTGCATGAAAAGCACACTAAAGAAATAACATGAATATATGGTGGAGCAGAGGAGAAAAACAACCCACAAACAAATAAACAAAGAAGACAAAGCACTTGGAATAAAAATAATGGCTAAAAATTAAAAAAAAAACAATAAACTAACGCAAAGAAGCCTTCTTCAGCCCATATTTTCCAAGCGCAATGAAGTGTATTTTTATATTTATGTGCATCTAAACCCTGAAAATAAAAGAGAAAAAAAAACAACATGTACACAGTGTATTACAATAAATTCAGTAGTTATTTCTATGAAGCGTTTATTAACTCATGATATTTTCAAGTGTTGGTTCACAGGGATTTTGTTGTTTTTGATTTGAAGATTGATCACGAACTGGACAACAGCTTCCTCCTGGAGAAATCGTGAACAGTAGGGTGCAGCAGGTCGGGTGTGAGGACAAATACTAGCCGAAGACATTGGCTAGCGGTCGTGATATGTCGTAGTTAGAATTCATAGGCTAGCTATTGGATCGGCTACCAGTGGCTTAATGGTAAACGAGCTCGCCTTGTAACCAGAAGGTCCAGGGTTCGAACCCCACTAGGGTGGGTGGGTTCTGATGAAGAGTCCCAAACCAGGACGAAATAGCTGTCCAGTACTCTCTGATAGGTCTTCCAATGGTTCTCTAACTAATGTGAGCTCATGATGAAATCCTGTTTCCTCCTTGATTACATTTCTTCACCAGTGTATACGCATGATTCTACTAAGGCGCAAAGCTGGATCCTTCAGGTAACAAGACGATCTCGATGACCGCCAAGCAAATGGGACGAAATTCAATGGTTCAGTTAATTCCAACCACAACCACTAGTCAATGTTATCGGTTAGTAGTATTTGTACTCATGTCCGGCTTGATGAACCCCGGGTGGTTACAGCTTTTTACTAGAACTTTGAGCAACTTCACTCTGTAGTCAGCCACCAATGAGAAGTAAGTAGACCGGTGAAGATACCCAAACAGTGGCAAAACAGCTGTTCAGTACTCCCTGGTTTTCACAACGTTTCTCATGATCAATCTTGATATATTTTAATAATACTAATACGTACTAATACGTAGAAAATATTTAGTTGTATTTTAGGATAAGTATAAAGTAAGAGAAAAATGAATTTTGATTCGACAATCTCGTTGTTGAACATCCAACGATATATTAAAACAAAAACCGACCATCGATTCAGGTATTACGGTCACAGCAGTTAACCAAAATATCAGTCACTTTACGAACTAGAAATAATAAAATATTTATGATTTGACGATGTGATGATCATTTTCTGTGTATAATTACCGGAAATAATGAAGTACATAGGCTATGCAGAATTGTAATTTATTATTCAGTAGAACTAATTTTATAGTCAAGGAATTATAAAATAGGTGAACAAGGAGACTTCCTGTACTTTTGATAATTAAAATACGGACAAATGTTATTAACAAATTGATAATTAACACAAGTACACAAATTATAGTGGACGAAAATTTTCCTTAAATATCAAGCTCATTGTTCTGTTTTCTTCATTCATTTCTTTGTGTTGTAAGTGGAAGATAGCGTTTCAAGCTTGAGTTTTAAAGTTTCAGTAGAGTTGATGAAGTGCCAACTTTATGCCCAACCTCCCCTCTTTACCTAGCTTACTGGCAGCCAAGAGAGGATTAGGAGTATGTCGGCTAATTCAACTAGTAATCACTACTGCATGCCATGTTTGAGGCTATGAATGTAAATTTCAAATTTGACGGCACACTTTACAGACAAATGAACGGGGTGGCGATTGTTTCCCATTTTGGCTGATTTATTTCTAAGTAAACTAGAAAATGGACCTTTGAACAACCTTATCAGAAAGTTCTCATTTTATTGCCAGTATATGGACGCCACCTCTATTCTTTGTTGATAATGATTCGGATAGGAGTACAATAATTACTGAATTCAATGAAGTACATTAAACTATGAAATTCACATGCGAGGAGGAATCCCAAGACAGAATTGCCTTCTTGGATGTTCCAATTACAAGAAAACCAGATGGTAGCATAAAAAGAAATTTGCATAGGAAAAGTACATGGACAGGACAATATACACATTTTCACAGCTTCGTTCCTCCCTAGTACAAAATGAATTTAACAGGGACATTCAGTCACAAGGTCTTCTGAGCTATATGCTCAAAAGAAGTAATTGAAGATGAACTAAGGTTTGTATATGATACCTTGATTCATTGAAAATAGCTTTCCAGACAAATTCATCAGGAAGCATATGACTAAGAAAGTTTAGAAAAGACTTTTCAGTATTCGTAAACAATTCAAGGGTGATATACCTAGTGAAATAATTACGAAGAAATTAAGAAAATCAGTTCAAAGAACTACACATCTTATTCTCTACACGACCGATGGTTCTACCTCGACTGAAAGATGAAATGCCCAGACTAGCCACTTCAGATCGTATCTATCAATTCAACTGCGCTTGTAGAGGAGCGAGTTATATTAGCTGTTGCTCTAGGAACTTGATTTTTCGTGTGCGAGAACATCTCCCACTATGGCTAAGTAAAGGTGTAGCGAAAACCATTAACAGTTCGATATTGGACCATCTGGTGCAAACCGGCCACAAAGCCAGCCAGCATGGAACAATCCTTCTCTATCAGCTACCGGGTGCCTAATAAATTGCCAAAATCATCGAAGCACCACATGCTCCAAGCAGCAGAGGTTATTGCAATTCGCCTCAAACAACCAGTGTTCTGTGTTCAAAACAAGCAAGTCCAGCCAGCCACTACTACTGCACTGACCAGCCTTCAGTAGAGACTATAAATTCATGAATTTGTAATATTATCTTTCCTAATTTTTCTGACATTCAGCTTATTGTTATGTTGATGCTATTGAGCTGTAATCTATCAATATTATTCATTCGATGTTATTGAAACAGCAACATTAATGTTGTTCATAACACTAATTCATTCATTCATTCACTATAATGTATATATAACTGTACAGCCTGATGATGAAGTTATTGAAAGGAGTATTCTTTGTTCGGTACCCATTCTTTTGAAGATAAAACAAGATGATGAAACAGCAAAGAAACCGAGTACCATCCAAATGAAATGATACGTTACTAGTGTACAACTGTTAATTTAGTTCCTACTGAACTGTCTGTCCCATTTTGATGTGTTATATTCTCTATGATGTCTGCTCAAAAATAAACACTACACCAATAACAGATTGTGAAATAAGCTTAATAAAAGTTAAATCATAATAATAATAATATCTGTGTGAGTTTATGATCTAGAAAATTACAGTACATACTTGCATTCGTGTTTTAATCACATCCAACGGGGTATTTCCGTAAACTGACGCTGCTCCAGCCACAATACCGAACAATCCGGTCAATAATTTTGGCACAGGTAGTCCACTAACCTTATCGCCTCGATATTGGCGATAGCCATCTTTTAGTGTTTCCATGACAAAGAAACGTATGGCTTGATTACTGCCTTGTTTAAGAATTGTCGGGGTTACACCTTTATAAATACCAGTAATGCCTATCGAACAGAAAGGAAAAAAATCAAGCATATTAATCACAGCACAGTTACTTCTGCATTGCTTCATATCATATTTTCCAAGACTTAACAATGTTAAGCCACTGGGAGTTTATAACATTGAAGAGTACATATTCAAAACAATCGACAGATTACCTTTTCTGTAAAGTTTGTGGTAAATTTAATTAGTAAGATCGAATGAAACTGCAAAAAAGGGCCTACGAACAGAAACTGATGTAGTTCATGACGCGTGAACATATTATTATTGTTATTATTATTTCCTTCAATTCCTAGAGGAATAATATAGGGCTTCAGCAACGCGTCTCCATTGCATTCGGTTCTCTGCTAAAGTTTTCACCTGGCTTCAAGTCTTCCTACTTGCTTTCATCTCCTCTTCACATCACCTCCTCCAAATCACCCTTGCACTGACGGCCAACTCACCGTTTCCCTTTCGGGTTCCACTCGAGTGATGGCTTGTCTAGTGATGTCACTTGATGGTTTGTTTCCTCAGAGTATGGCCAATCCATCTCCATTTCTTTCTGCCTATCTGTTTCACAATCGGTTACTGGTTGATTGGTTCGTTCCCAGAGATCCCTGTTGCTGATATTTTCTGACCGGCCATCTGATCTTGAGTATTGAGCGAAGACAACTGTTAATGAAGGCCTGTAGTTTGTTTGAGATGCTCTTTATAACGCACCAAGTCTCTGATCCGAAGAGTAAGTAGCTCTGACTTCACATTGGAGTTGAGAATCTGGATCGTATTTTTCATGCTGAGTGCTGTTGACTTCCACACAGACTTGAGAGAAATGAAAGCTTGTCTTGCTTTTCCGATTCTTGCTTTGATATCCTCATCAGTTCTGTCTCTCTGTAGTTAAAACGATGCTTCCCAGGTAGGCAAAGAGGTTGTTACTTTCAGGTTCTTCCCATTTATGCTTATTGTTGTCTGTTGTTGTTGCTGTTGGCCAGGAATCTTCATCACCTCTGTTTTCTCTATGTTCACCTGAAGGCCTAATATCTCTAGATGCTTGTTCTGCCAACTTGTTGCTTTTCACCTGCATATCTTCCAGTTTGTGGGAAATCAGACACATATCATCGGCGAAGTCCAGATCCTCCAAGTGTTTTATGTGGGTCCATTTTATGCCTGTTTCCTCATTGCCCGCTGTCTGTCGTATTATAGAATCTACTGCGATCAGGAAAATCATTGGCGACAGTAGGCAGCCTCTTTTCGAAGGATTCCGTAAGTTTCCCGTTGGCATGCAGCATTGTCGAACAACTGTTGGATGAGATGTATAATTGTTGGAGTCACCTCGTAGTAGCGAAGTAGTTGCCATATGATAAACATTATTCTAATCGATTCTGAATGAATACCTTCGTCTTTAGCAAGGACTACTTACATGAATAGAGGTAAGCACATAAAGATTATATTCTTCGTTGTGGACTCAATTACAGACTAATAAAGGTAAGGAAACCAAAGAAATCACAGAGCACGGAACAGACTCTCCTTAGTAGTTCTGAAGTCTTCAGAAATATTATGCTCTTATACATCTCATAGCCATCAGGAATAAAAGAAACAGGCAATAAAGACTCAAGCTATTCATCACATATATTATGTAAATTAAAGTCTCATTCGAAAAAGTTGGCAGAAAACAGAAGGCAATGGAGGTGCGCAGCTGAAGCTCTATGTTCCTCTAGGAATTAAAGGATATAATAACAAATAATAAATAAAGTCTCATTCACGGTACACATTATGATTCAAGCGTTGTCATGGCTTTTTGTTACTATTCTTAATAGTCATTGTTTAAATTGTCTTCTACACACAAATTAACCAAGGTGATTTCCACCACTCATTTCTATCGTCTTGTCTTCACGGATCACCTCTTTCAGGACGTATATCATTATATCATAATTGAAACAAAAACTTGATACATTATGGGTCCCAAGAGGTGTGCCACACAACATCTCATGGTTTAGGCGAGGGATAGGATACTGTAGGGAAGCACAGACCAAAACAGGTGGTAGTCTCATAGTACCATCCTCTGAGCCTTTGACTTGCAGTTGTAATCTAAAAGGCAGTATAGCAGTGTTAGGAGCTACATTCCAATGGTTGCCGGTGACCAAATCAAGTTAATGCGCCGTCTGATCTTTTCAGATTCGGGGGGCTTATGCATACTATAGACTTGGAAATAGGGTTTTCCAGCTCCCTTAGATAAACTTGAACGTCCACTGGTCCGGTCGTAAGCGTCGGATATTTGCATTCACCCCTTTAGCTTTTTGATGAAGACCCCCAACCGTGCGAAGACGGTTGAGTAGGACTTATCTGATAGAGGCCGCCACATGAAAGCATTTTGAGAGAAAGACTGAAATCTACCCATCCTCAGCTGTACAAGGTCGTGTGTAGAGACATAACACCAAGAATAAAAATTGATCACTAAACGCAAATTCTATTACAATCATGAAAGTCACAAGTAACGATGTTAGAAATTCCCAAAGGAGTTGAATGAATATTGAATATTCAAAAGATCTGAGCCCCACCACATCAGAAATTTCATACTCTCGTATAGCATTGAGAAGAAAAAGCTTTACGGCGCTGACGTTTCAAAAACGTTTATACCTAATCTCAATACGACGTTGGAGAGGCATTTCATAGCAAATTACATAATTATTAAAAATAAGTATTTTTATTTTAATAAGTGTATGTAGTGGTTTTTTACTTAAAATGTACTCCGTTAATGTAAAACTAATCTTTACAAAGTAAAAATTAATATTCATAACCAACTACTTATGCTGAAGCGACAACTTCATCAAATCTAAACGTGAGCATACATGCAGGACAATAGTTGATTAATATACCAACAAAAGCTTTTATGAGCACATTACTGAAATCGCTCTTAGTGGCATCATTACAGTTATATCGAATCCGCTGAGAGATTTATGACCAGTTTTCACCAGACCAGACGAACTCATAGACTTAGAAAGACTGATTCCTACGGGTTCGGAACAAGATGAGCAGCAGAAGATGCTCAAATGTAAACTGACTAAAGTTTTCTACAATGACTGTGAACCCTAGTGGGTCATAAAAATCAATCAAATAAGAAAGCTGCTCTCATGAATAACACTAGATAACTACTTTAACTCATTAAGGTAATGTGAGGGAATATGAAATAGTCACGTTGGAGTGGCGTAAATCATTAACAGCCTCAGTGTGTGTATAGGAAGAAAGATAAGTCTTCCTGTCATAATCATCATAGGACGATAAGCTTGAGAATCATAGTATCTAAAATTCCAGCTTTAATAAACATTCGTAGACTGACCAGTGCTGGGAATAAAAGAAAGCGTGAAAAAAAATAACAGTCGGACTTAGTACCAGCAAAAGAGTGTATTTTTCATATCTTCATCCTTCAGCAGATCCTGAAAAATATGCATACTCACTGGCTGACAGCTTGTGGATTCATCACAACCAATGGTGTCCTTCAGGGAAGACGAATATTTCTATCATTGCTTAGTTTCATCATCGATGTTCTTCTACCTCTGTGACTCTAAGCGACTTCAGTATCTCAAGGATTGACTTCTTCGTAAGGATCAGTCCCTTCAGCTTTAAGTGTGCAGATGATACAGTCCTTCTAAGTAAAGATGTTGAAAAAGTGCAGTCTTCTGAACATCTTGAGCAGAAATCACAGTATGTCTGATAAGTGACTTTTCCCTGTCAAATGTAGTATAAGGCTGCAGGACTGGTTTGTACTAACTTTTAGTTTAAAACAAAGGAGGCGAAGTAGACAGGCACGTTAACCATTTCACTATTTTTAGAAGCTGAATTAGTCCTAATACACTGATTAGCGCAGACACAATATCTAGCTATAATGCCAAAAGTAGTGTACTGCGCGACAGTTCAGTGTACCAGATAAACCTTTAAAGTGCTTTAGACGAGCGACACCGAATACACTTCATTTTCACATTGCTCATCTTCTCTTAACTTCTTCAATCACACCTGTTATTACCAATTAGTTGTTTTCTACTAAAGATTGTCATCTTATTATCACTTATGATATTCCTAATTGTAGTCAACTGTATTATGCGTCAGACTGTGCATGAAGGCGAGAAGACGGCAATACACTGGACCACCAATATTAAGACTCTGGAAGATCTGAATTTCACGCTTGGACGATTTGTGCTTTACTGACACACAAACTCGAAAAGTTGCAGGTGAAAACCAACAAACTGGATAAACGCAGCAGGCAGCGAAGACAGGACACCAGATGAACATAGAGAAGATAAAGGTGATGAGGGTAATCAACCAACAGTAGCAATCACCATCAATGGAACAGATTTAACATAGGTTCCCTCATTCACTAATCTAGGAAACATTGTTTCAAATACAGGCGACAGTACGGGTGAAGATGTCATAACCAGCCAGCCAGAATTAGAAAGACAAGTTACACACATCTTCATCAGAGTGACATCGGTTTGAAAGTCTTCTGCACTGAGCAAGCAAAAAAACAACAAGATTCTGATGTGTTCGTGTTCTCTGAGCTGGAGAGTTAATTTTCGAAGCTTTCATCGCCCTACTAAGCGACATCTTCAGCTCATACTTCAATTTCAAGAAGTGAGCTTTCAGATTTCTCGACGAGTTTATTAATCATCTCTCCTAGTCGGTGACCTTGGACGTGATTGGTTGTTTCTGTGTGTTTTGACACCTTCTAGGTTACTTGTATTGGAACTCATTGTTTCTTTGACTTGAACTTTGACTCTTTGTGTGTGAGCTTTCTTTCTTGTCGGTTGATATATTTTGTCCATCTCGATGTGTCTATTGATTGATGATTAACTGGAATACCAGCCAGGCTTCTAAAAATTCTCTAGCATTCTTGTTGTTTCCTCTGTCTAATATTTGAACGTTGTTCTTCTTCCAAACGAATTGAAGTCCATGGTTGTCTGTATGTAGTGATATGAGGGAGTGGATACCATGTATTTTGACGGCTAGCTTATGTTCATGGATACGAAGACGAAGG